TATGGAATGATCTTGGTTAAGAGAATTATGTAGGTTTTTATATAATTGTTACCGTATTTACCATTTTTGTAAAATACTATTTTTCTCTAGCATATATATATTTTTTACTTTTCTGCCAAAATTTTTTTAAAATTTTGAGTAAAATGGTGTTGAGAAGATTGAAAAAATCTTCTCAACACCATTTCAAAATATTATCAGAAGTGTTTTCTCTAAAAAGCTCTATAACTCGATATCTGAACTTGTTAATACTTATGATGTATTTAATTTGTAGCAATTTACTCTCAATACAAAGTTTTCTTGTTTTCTAGAAACCAGCAAGTTCTATTTGCTGATTGCTTGATTCTATAGTAATTGCTACATAGTACATATTAAATATGCGTAGATATCTAAATTTTTTGTGAAACAAAAAGTAATATCTTACTCTTTTTTACACAAAAAAAATATACATACCTGTGTATAGTTAATTATACCTATATATTCTAATTTACTTTCGTTTTTGGGTGAGATTACAAGGAAGTACCACGTTAAGCTTACAATTATGTACTTTTTGAGGGTAAGTACAAGTTTTGCACTCCCTAGCAGTCCACTGTACCCGCTTCATGGATAAGGTAAGGAATAGTAGCTTTATGGCAAAAAGAAGGATTTTGTTGCACATTAACAAATACTTAGATTTTTAATAAATAAACATATATAATAAATTCATTTTTGGCATCTACTACATAATGCTTCAGCTTTTGATGGGTGAAATAGCCAATCTTACAAAACAATTAATACATGAAATTAATGAAGTGGCAACTTTTGCTGCCTTCAAAACTACTTATTTTGCCTTCTAAACTACTTTCTCAAAGCTGAACGCTAAACTTCTGGTTTCTCAAAGCTGAACGCTAAACTACTGGTTTCTCAAAGCTGAACGCTAAACTACTGGTTTCTCAAAGCTGAACGCTAAACTACTGGTTTCTCAAAGCTGAACGCTAAATTACTGGTTTCTCAAAGCTGAATGCTAAACTACTGGTTTCTCAAAGCTGAACGCTAAATTACTGGTTTCTCAAAGCTGAATGCTAAACTACTGATTTCTCAAAGCTGAACGCTAAACTACTGGTTTCTCAAAGCTGAACGCTCAATTACTGGTTTCTCAAAGCTGAACGCTAAATTACTGGTTTCTCAAAGCTGAACGCTAAACTACTTTTATGATATTTATATATAGCATTGGTAAGGATTTTGGAATAGATTGATACTTTCGTTTAGAATAGAATAAAGAAAACTTAGTTTTATCAGTGTTTAAAGATTAGCGTTAAGCCAGTTTGATATTTGTTTTAGTTCATTATTTGCTACTTGAAATAGAGAGATAATATTATTGTGAGAATAGAATAAATTGGTGTCGTCTGCAAACATAATAGTAGATATAGTATTTGATGCTTTTTATAGATCGTTGACATAGATTAAGAACAGCAGCGGATCTAAGATGAAGCCTTGTGGAACCCCACATGATATTTTAAGTTTGTTTTTCTGAAAGCCATCATTTAGAGAAATAATTTAAGTAACTGGTAAACCATTTTTGGTATTCGTGGCTTATTCCATAAAGTTTAGTTTTTCTAACAAAATCTGATGGTTAACGGTGTCAAATGCTTTTGACAAGTCTAAGAATATAAAGGTGAGCTTGTTATGAGAAGATGCTCCACAGATAACTTCAACAGGTTGCATAAGTGCATGTTCCGTAGAGTAATTTAATCGAAAACCATATTGGTTATAATAAAGAAGATTGTTATCACACAAAAATGCAAATATCCTATTATACATGATACGTTTGAGGATCTTTGAAAAAACAGGTAATACCGATATAGGTTGATAATTTTTGACCAGACTTTCATCTCCTGATTTAAAAATAGGTGTAATAATTGCAACTTTCATTTTATCTGAAAAAACACCTGTTTTAAGCAATTTGTTAAAAATATCTAATAAAACATCTTTAATAAGTTCATAACAGTCTTTGATTATGCTTGCTGAAATAGAATCATAGCCTGTTGCTTTATTTTTATTTAGTTTTTTTATTGAATCTTTAAGTTCTTTACTAGTGAGTTTTTAAATGTTTAGCTTTTATCCGACTTCGATAGATAGCTCAAGAAATGTGCAGGAGTGTGTTTAATTTTGCTGGCTAAGTTTGGACCAATATTATCAAAAAACTCATTAAATTTTGTTGCCACCGATTTTAAATTAGAGATCTGTGTGCCATCTAAAGTAATCACGCTTGGCGAGACTTTGTTGTGTATTTTTTGTTTTCCAAGAATCTCTTTAATAGCATCCCACGTTTTTTTCCAGTTACCTTTAGTTCTAACAGCTTGTTTTTGAAGTATGTAGGTCTGGCTATTTTTTTAGTTTTTTCATATAGACGTTTATGCTCTAAGTAATTTTGCTTATCACGTTCTTTCTTTGATTTAATAAAGCGTATATATAGCTTTTGTTTTCGCTTCGAAGAATTTAAAAGGTTTTAAGTGAACCAAGGATTAAGAAGTCCTTTAGTTTTAATACGGCTTGTTTTATTAGGAAAATGTTTATCATACAAATTGAAAAATTATCTAAGAAAAGGTTGTAGCTGTTATTAGCACATGTCTCGAGAAAAACAAAGTTCCAATTTACAGACGATAGCTCTAGTTTAAACATTTATTTTGCTCGAGTTGTAAAGATTCTTTTTTTGAAGTACCAGTCCTTTTTTAGTATATCTTTTAGTTTTTTTTCAAAGACTGGGAAATGGTCGGTTATGTCACTTCTGATGATGCCTGATTTAAATGTGGAATGGAAGAGTGTGTTTGTGAAAATATTGACGATTGCAGAACAAGAGTTTTGTGTTATTCTTGTTGATTTCTTTATTATAGGCATCATTCCAAACTCATTAAAGCGATCGTAAAATTATTTTACTTTATTATTTTCACCATATTTTAAATAATTGACGTTATTATCTCCAACAAATAAAAATGAGCGGTCTTTATTTTTTTTGCATGCTATTTCAAAATAATCACTTAAGTGATTTTTAAAGTTATTTAAACAACAGTTTGGTGGTGGGTATGTAGTTATCACAATAATTTTTTTAGATGACTTATTGTAAACTTCTAAATTGAAAGATTCAAAATTCGGCTCAGAAAACGACAGGTCATATCTAGTTTTATAAGTAAATTCATCAAGCACATTGATACTTATACCACCGCCTGTTTTTGAAGACTTACGTTCAAAACTAATGGCTTTGTAGTTGGGCAAAATAAAATTAGAATTTCGATTGTATCTAAAATCAAGCTTTCCGTTAAACAAATTAAGCTAAAGTTAAAGTTAAGATTATCTAGTAGGACTTTTAGTTCGTCGAAGTTTTTAGTAATACTATGAATATTTAAATGAAACACTGAGAACTAATTAGAAAAACATAATTTACATCTTTTAAAGAAAACAGTAGCTTTACCAAATTCAAAGTAAGAAGTCTTCAGTTTGTTTTTGTTGAGAAATTGATCTTGAATAAGTTGAGATTTTATTTGAATTTAGTCAATATTTGTCTTTTTTTGAGGAGATTATTTTCTTTTTTAGAATGAATCTTTGACTTGCGGTTAGATCGCGACATATACACATTTTCATATTTTTTGATTTTTCTTAATTTAATTAATGCTTTAAGAACCATATTTTTGTTATTATTGTCTTCAAGCTCGATAAGCAAAGGATCAATGCTTCCTTTAGATTTAAGACGGCGAATAGATCTCACTTTTACTCTATTGGATTTGATAGCACTAAGTAAATTATTTACTTATGATTTGTCATTATCCCAACCTGGGGTAAGTTGCTTATACTCAAGGGTAAGTTGACTCGCAATAATAAAAGCTAAAGTTAAAGGTCCTATTTAAGTGTATTTCAATAATATTTTAACATCCCGCCCCTTTTTTTTAAAGGAATCATAGCTGAAATATACTTTTATCAATATCATCAAACTTTTGGATCAAGTCATTGTAACACTTTAAGCAATAGAAAGTAAGTATAATTAAAAAATACAGTGACAAAACAAAACAGTGTTCCCAATTTATGGTTATACAATAAGAATTAAAACTTATATTGTTTCATTACATGAATATTTTTAACTAATGGAGTTTAAAATTGGCTAGCAGCAAATATTGCAAATGAAAAACAAAGATTTTCCGATTATACATGACTCGTGAGCCCAAAGGTGACATTGGGTACATTGAACCCAAACTTCCTCTGGTTTACTTTTAGAAAACATTCCAACACAAACTGAGCAAAAACACTCCTCTTCAACAGAGCTATTTGGACAATTTAAACTTTTCTCCTTTAAGTGTAAAATTCCTTTACAATTTGATCTTTTACTCATCTTAATATTATCTTCACTTAACGTTTTTGCTTGTTTTCTCTCTTCAATTGCTATTTTTTTCTTTTAAGCTGATTTTTTCTCTATTTTTAAAACATTCATATTTGGTGAATCTGTTAAAATTGATGTGGTTCTACTTCTTTTATTAGCCCTAACTCTTTTTCTTGGTTCAGCTTTTTTGAATGGTCTTAAATTTTCAGGCGATAGAACTACAGTTGACTCTGTAGATGCACTGTGTACATCATTACTGCTTGAATATGAAATATCTTGACGTGGTTCTATATCTTTTGAGCAACCAGCATTTAACATGTCATTCTCAGATATTGTAAAGTCAACATCCGTTACACTACTTATATTTAGCGCTGTACTTTCCACAGCACAGTCTTGTTTCGGAGGTGGTCTATCTGTGGTATAGGCTGGCATAAAATCGTGTTCACTAAAAATGTTAACGTTTAGTGGGTAAATTCCTGTTTTTGCAAAACCAGCCTTGATATTATTAGGGGTACATGCTAATGGAAATGAGTTACTTACAATACCTGGTATACTGTAAATAGACATTGTGGAACCAGGGTGCATTGTCATCCACGCATCGCTAGCTGTGTTTGTGTTTTATTTAAAAAGGTCCAAATATACTTCAATCTAGAGATTAAAGTTTATGGCTGCAATGAGGAGTAAATGAACAAACCGATACCCCATTTTCTTTAAAGTAATCTAAAGCCTCTACTGAAAGATGAGAGTCATGATTGTCTAATAGCAACAAAACAGGTCGTTCTTTTGTATTTCTGGCATATTTGACAAAATGATGGGAAAATTGCAAAAATTGAACTTCAGTCATCCAACCAGATGGGTTTGCAGCGTCTGCACTTCCATCAGGAGCACCATTTAAAAAATAGCTTTTAAATTTCACACAAGGAAATATGAAAAATGGAGGAATTGAATTTCCACTGGCAGAAACAGCAACTGCCACAGTTATTAAATTGCCTCTCTCAGCCGAAGTAACACGCCTAATTTGTTTAAAACCCTTTCTTGCTACAATATGATCTGGAGTTTGAACTGTGTTAATACCAGTTTCATCCATATTCAAAATATCTTCACTTTCCAACTTTAAACGATTAAGAATAGTTTGTAAATTGTTGTAAAACTTTTAAACATTTGTTCGATTAAAACTGGAAACACGTGCTTGACTTGTTGCCTCAGGTTTCCTTATTGACAGTTTTTTGTGCCTTTTGAGGTAAGCACTGAACCAGTCTTCTCCAGCTGCTTCATTTACACTCCAATTATGAGGCATTTTTATGCTATTCGCTTTTCCATGCTGATAAGCAAGTTTCCTCACTTCCTTAGGAGAAAGTCCATAATAAATATCAGAAGTTTTAGTCACATATTGTTCCAATATGTGACTGTGACAATATAAACTGTGTGTGTGTTTGTGTGTGTGTTGTGTGTGTGTGTGACTGTGACAACATAAACTGTGTGTGTGTTTGTGTGTGTGTGTTTATGTGTGTGTGTCTGTGTGTGTGTTGTGTGTGTGTGTCTGTGTGTGTGTGTTCACACAAACACAGACACACACACAAACACACACACATTACACTATGTGTTAAAGAACATAGCAGTTATATTTTATAACTGAGTGTGTGTGTGTGTGTGTGTGTGTAAACACACACACACATTAGTATTAGTATATTAGTATTAGCACACACATTAGTATTAGTTATAACACACACACATATGTGTGTTATAACACACACATATATATATATATATATGTGTGAGTGTATATAACACATACAAATATATATATATTAGTATGTGTTATACACACACACACATTGTATTAGTATGTGTTATACACACACACACACACATTGTATTTGTATGTGTTATAACACATACTAATACACAGTTATAAAATATAACTTATATGTTTTATAAGATCATTGAGCACTCTATTTGTAAATAATAACACTAACATAATTTTTATATACAATATATATATATATATATATATATATATATATATATATATATATATATATATACATATATATATATATATATATATATATATATATATATATATATATATATATATATATATATATATATATATATATATATATATATATATATATATATATATATATATATATATATATATATATATATATATATATATTAGGTTGGTGCACAAATATATTGACAATTTCAAAAGTTTCAAAAATCAATGTGGTACTTTTTCCTATTGTTCCTTTTATCATTATATTAATTCCTGCAAAATTTAAGCAAATTTGAATGACTTTTAGAGGTCGCTCATGGCCATGTTTCCTCTTTTAATTGCCATTATTTTCCTATTCTAACGTTACTGTGAAGTTTTTAATATGTACATTTGTTTATTTGTTTTATTATGACATAACTCTTAATTTGATTTAATTTAATTAATTATGATAACTATTTTAACTGATTTTAAATATTTTTTAAATATATTTTTCTAATTTAAAAGTGTGCAACTATCTTTGACAATATACCGGAAAGCATTTTAATTTTTAATACCTTTTTCGAAAAAAATTGAAACTTGAACAACTACTGACATTTATCTTGTTGGGTCTGTTTCTCCAAATATTTCTAAGATGAAGCTTTTAACATGTCGTCAAGTTCTTGCAGTATTTTTTCATCTTCACAAAATAGAAAAACAAACCGTTAGACAAAGTGCAAGGTGTGTCATTCGAGAAGTATTTCATTTGTGGAATATGGCAAGAATTCCAACAACTATTGAACGTAATGCAATTGAAAAACTTGAAAATATTTTTTACAAATGGGCTAAAATAAAGAAAAACATGAAAGGAGCTTCGGCAACACAAACAGCAAATGAAAATGTTTTTTGTGAAGAAATTGGTCGCATTTTTGATATAGCACATGCTGATGCCATGAGTTTGATTACAATTGAAGAAGACAGACTATTTCTAATAGATCAGCGAGGTGAACGTAAGGGATACATGGCCGGAGTTGACATGACATTGGCAAAAACAGAAGAACGTGTCCAGAAAAGAAAAGAATTAGAAGAGTCCAGACGTTTTCAGGAAAAAAAGCGAAAAAAAGAAGCTGAAAATACAAGTCACATTGATTCAATGCACCTATCTGACAAGTCTACATCTGGCACTGAAACCTCAGATGAAGAATTTATGAAACCAAAGAAATCTAATCAAAATGTTGTAAAAAAGCGATCGCGATCTCAAAATATCATTTCACCTGAGTTAGCATCTGCTCTTGACTGAACCAACGTCACGGATTGCCAAGCGACTTATTTACTGGCAGCTGCAGCAAAAGGTTTAGGTCATGACATTACAGATTTTGCTATTAGTCGCGATACGATCCGGAGAGCTAGAATTACTAATTGAAACAAAATTACAACCATAAAGTTTGCATTCAACTCGTCAAATGTTCCATTGACTGTTCATTTTGATGGCAAAATATTGCCAAATATTACTGGAAGAGATTCAGTTGATCGATTAGCAGTTGTTGTTACAGGTTACAATGTTGACCAGCTTCTTGGCATTCCAAAGTTAACAAGGGGTACTGGTAAAGCAATAAGTGAAGCTGTTATAACAACTTTACTAGATTGGGACATTCAAGACCGAGTTAAAGCAATTAGTTTTGATACAACGGCTGCCAACACTGGTACCGAAGCTGGAGCGTGTACTTTAATTGAAAAAAAGCTTAATAGAGAACTATTACACTTAACATGCCGTCATCATATGTATGAAATCATCTTGAGTGATGTTTTTAAGCATTCTCTTGGGCAATCCAGTGGTCCTGAAATAGGATTATTTAAACGTTTTCGTGACAAGTGGTCATTAATTGACAAAAATAATTATGAAACAGCGTTAAATGATCAAACATGTTCGGACATTTTGGCTTCTTACACCATACTCAAACAGGATGCACTATTTTATTTGAAAACAATTCTTGAATCTGGTAAACAATATCGAGATGACTACAAGGAATTGTTGGAACTAAGCTTGTTGTTTCTTGGTGATGTTCCTCCTCGTGGGGCTCATGTAATGGCTCCCGGAGCCATACACAGAGGAAGGTGGATGGCCAAAATTTTATATTCAATGAAAATATGGATGTTCAAAAGGCAGTTCAAATTAACGGCAAAAGAAGAAAAATCACTTCGAGGTATTAGCTTGTTTGCTAGTTTGGTGTACACCAAATTTTGGATATCATGTACCAATCCAACACTTGCTCCGTCGAAAGTTTTTAATTTCTTGAAGACTGTTTTTCAACATAAAGCTATTAACAATGGAATTTTTACAGCTGCAGCAACAGCATTTTCGAGGCATTTATGGTATCTAAGTGAAGAAATGGTAGCATTGGCTTTTTTTGATAAGGAGATCAGCAAGGAAACAAAAGCAAAAATGGTTTTGGCTCTAAAAAATGCTGGAGAGGATGAACCACAGAAAAGAATAAAAATCGATTTAACTTCAATTGAAAATCTGCAAATAGAAAGTTTTGTAACAGAGAATACCTTAAATTTTTTCAACATTTTGGAATTACCAACTACTTTTTTGACAACTGTTGATCCTGACAAGTGGACCGAAAATGAAGAGTTTCAACAGGCAGAAAAAATTGTAAAAAGTCTACGAGTTGTTAATGATACGGCTGAAAGAGGAGTAAAACTAATTCAGGATTTTAATTGTTCAATTACCAAAAATGAAGAACAAAAGCAATTCTTGTTGCAGGTAGTCTCTGAACACAGGTCAAAGTTTCCTCTGCCACAGAAATCTTTGTTGATCGATGGAACCAAGTCATCAAAAAACGATGGAAACAAAAATCAATGAATTTTTTTTCATAGATTACAATAATTTTTTGCAAAGAAGCTGAAATATAAATGAAACCTAAAACTCTTACAATTTTTAAGATTTTTTGGAACTATTATTGTTTTTTAAATTTGTCATTACTATAGTGAACACAAGTACGTTATTATAAACCAGAAGTTTATTACTTTATTCTTCAATTATTTTATTAGTAAACAATAATATATATAATTCAGTTTAAAAAATACTGCATGGTTTTGGATTAATATACAGTAAGAGTTAAAATGCAATGTTGTATCATAATTTATTCAAAATTTGGGATTGCACACTAAAAGAGAACTCAAACCCAAAAAGTAAAAAACTTGATGTTGATGACCTTTAAAAATTATTCAATCATGCCCAAACTTCACGATTGTTGTTCCTACACATAATGTCACATAAAGAAATGGTACCATCAAAGAAATTTAAAAATTTTTTTTTTTGCATCATCCTAATATATATATATATATATATATATATATATATATATATATATATATATATATATATATATATATATATATATATATATATATATATATATATATATATATATATATATATATATATATATATATATATATATATATATATATATATATATATATATATATATATATATATATATATATATATATATATATATATATATATATATATATATATATATATATATATATATATATATATACTGACCTGTCTAGATTTTATGTAACCTGATATTTGCTGACCATGACGTTGTTGCTTTTTGCAGTATCGGTAGGCTTACCATACGTCCCGTTTTGACCGGGATTGTCCTGATTTTATGCAATTTGTCCCAGCGCATAGTGGGAAATCACATGGCCAAAAATCAAAAAAGTGACTTAGTTCAATCATTATGTCTGATGGTGGGTTTTGTTACTAATACCCTCACTAAGAATTTTCCAATTTATGAAATTCTAAATGTGTTAGGCTCAACGGTAGTGGCTTCTTGAAGTTAGGTTTTTAATGAATTTTCGATAAAAACTCTCAAGATGCTGGATTTTAGTAATTACTTTTTTTTAATATATAGATCATTGAAAAATTGAGAATATACACATTATTGGAAAGGTTACTGTATAGACTGTTAAAAACAAGAAATAAAAAATTTCTTGAAAAAGTTGGTAGTACAATTTTTAGCATCGAAAGTAAAAATTTCATCACAAAAATACTAAATTTTAACTTTAATGAAGAATTTAAAAATTGTCCCAATTTGTACCTTTTCCATATTTTGGTATTTTTTAGTCTATAGTGTCAACTAACTACCCTGAGAAGTGTAGCTGCGATCATCCGCGATCTTGAGCGCTAAATAATTTTGAAAAATTGATGTTTTTTTTTTAAACAAATAAAAAACTTCTTTAAATAAATAATTTTTTTTTCATTCATCACAAAAAGTAAAAAAAAAAAAACTACTTAAAAG